GGGCTGAGTCACCACGTCTGGTTAGAGAAGCATGCTTGGGGCTCCCAGCCCAGCTGTGGGCAGGAGAAGGGGCCAGGCAGGGCTGCCCTGTGCGCAGGGGACTCACCCCCCTCCCCACTGCCTGCTGTCACCTTGGGCACAGCCTTGGCCAGGACGATCCCGCTCTTCCGCGTGATGGGCTGCTGGCTCTGCAGGAGGTGCTCGATGAGCAGTGGGATGGTGGGGAAGCCTTCCCTCTCCAGCCGGTACATGTTCTGCAGGGAGGAGAGGCTGAGGGGTTGTGCCTGCACGCACGCATGGGTGTGCTCACGAGGGCTGGAGTGTGCACACATAGATGAGTGTGCACACACATAGATGAGTGTGCACACACACACACGGCACTGGACATGCATGCATACTGGGCACGGCAAGCACGCATAAGTGGGAGTTCACACGCACAATGCAGGGCTCACACCCCGTGCTCCATGCTTGGCCTGTGCAAGGACGGGTGCACACAACTTGTGCCATACACACACATCCCGTGCACTCGCACCAGGGGCCCCATGGCTGCAGAGCCAGGGGCCGTGCCCGGGCAGGGATCCCTGCCTGCCTGTGCAGGGCCACCCCTGGCTGTCTCTCCCTGCCTGTGGTCACTCACGTCGGCAGCCTGGATGATGAAGTGCCGGGGCTGCCCGTCCCACAGCACGCTGAGCACGTACTCCTGCTTGCCCTGGCTCTCCCGCACCAGGAAGTCCCCGCTGCAGCTCAGCAGCTCCTGCACCTCCGAGCGCGGGATGGCCCCGTGGTACCAGACCTGCTGGCACAGCGGCTTCTGCACCTCTGGGATCAGGGGCACGGGGGGCGGCAGCTGGATAGAGACAGGGGTGAGCCCAGCCGTGCCCCTGGGGTCGTGCTGGAGGTGGGGGCAGCAGCGGTGCCTGGAACCTGTGCCCGGGACAGGGCGCAGCAGGCAGGGGGAGCAGAGGCTGGAGGGGCTGGAGCATGAAGGGGAGTGGGCTGTGGGGCTGGAGAGGAGAGGGCAGGGGGTGCCAAGAGGCTGGGAGGCTCGGCAAGGCAGCCAGGCAGCAGGGCAGAGTGGCTGGATGTGCCCAGGGTCTCACCAAATACTTGGGGCTGAAGATGCCTGAGATGTGGTTCTTGAGGGTCTCCAGCGCAGTGGCCCCACTCCGCTCCTGCTCCTGGGGGGAGGTGTGAGCTGTGCACTGGGCGGGGGGCGATCCGAGCCTGGCATGCCCCAGCCCTCCAGCTCCCGGGGCGTGGTGGGACAGGACTCACCACGGAGGAGACCGACTGCCGGTCCTCCGGCAGAGGCAGGGCGGGCAGGGGCTCCCTGGTGCCCAGCTCTGCCAGCTTCTTGGCCAGCAGGTCCCGCTGCGCCTGCAGCTTGGCTTGGGTGCAGAGGCAGCCCTCGAGCTGCTGCTGTGCCTCCTGCAGCCCCTGCCGCTTGCCCAGCACTGGCCCCTCGCCCCCCGCCTGCCACACCTCACCGTTCCCCGGGGCTCCGGCCCTGCTCCTCGCCCCGGATCTCCACCTGCAGCTCCCGCACCCGCTGCTCCTTGCTGCTCACAGCCTCCGCGGCAGCCGCCAGCTCCTCCTCAACCGACGTCAGGCTGCAAGAGACACAGGTGCCGGACAGTGCTGAGCTGTGCTGCCAGCGGCAGCAGCCCCCACCTGCGGCCCAGCCCTACTCACGAGTGCTGGACGCTCTCGACAGTCAGTTCGTTCAGCTGCAGCTCTCCTGGTGCCAGGCCCTCTGTCTCCTCCAGCAAGTTCTCGTCAAACAACACAGCTGGTGGCACCTCGGAGCCATACCTGCAGGCACCCAGTGCAGCTCTGCCTCCCACCTGCCCCATGCTGCGACCAACAGGGCCATGCCCGGCAGAGGGGCTGCAGCCGTGCGGAGCCGTACCTGTGGCTCTGGATGAAGCCACTGTACTCGGTGGCTGGGTCGATGGCCTGGATGGCACCGGCAATTTCCTGGTGCACAGCCAGCACATCCTCCTGCACCAGGCTGCTGATGCTGTAGTACTCCCCGAGGATCTCCTTCCTGTGGGGACACGGGTGCTGGGGGCTGCCGGGCTCCTGTGCCCCCCAGCCCAGGGCTCCTGCAACCACACACCACCACCCCCGCCTCGGCCCTGCCACCTGGGCTGGCCGGTCCCCACGTCCTGCTGGCTCACGCCCTCAGTCCCTGCATCTCGCGTGGCACTGTGGGGCATCACCTTGACGGCTGCAGGTGACGAGGCACGGAAGGTGCACGTGGCCAGCAAGACTCTGGCAGGAGGAGGGAGCACCGCCAGTTCTCAGGGGCTATGGGGGTACCTAGGGATGTGGCAGCGGGGCACGGGGCGGGCAGTGGGATGCGGGGCAGCCAGGGCTCTTACAGGACAAGGACCATCTCCTGCTGCAGGCTGTAGAGGGACTGGTGGAGGCTGGGCAGCGCCCGCTGGTAGTGGTGGTGGTGGTGGAGCGTGGCCACGGCCAGCACGTACTGGTTGTGCAGGGCGTAAAGCTTCCAGAGGCTGCGCACGTACTTATCCTTTGCCTTGTCTCGCTCCTTGTCTGGGGGAAGAGGCCGTGGAAAACACCCACT